AACAAGCATTGTGAAGGAGTCTCTTTGGGCTCCGGGTAATTTTCACAATATTTCTCACTATTTTCAATCAATCAATTAATGGAGAAAATAATCAGCAGATTAATCCATGATCAAAATAATCAGTTAAATCCTGCTTTTACATTAATGCATTAATTATATAATTATATAATAATAGTCACAGGAGACATTTTGAGTACTTTTACTTTTGATACTTTAAGTTAATTTTTCATGAATAAACTTACAGACTACTACTACTTGTAAAGTATTTTTTAACTCAACTCAACTTTATTCATATAGCACCTTTCATAAAACACATGCAGCTCAAAGTGTTTCACATAACAAACTGAAACAACACATAAAACAACAATAAAATGTAAAACATCCCCAAAAGTAGATGTAACAATAAACTCCAGAGAGACAAATAATGTAAAAACCACTGATTAAAACCTAAAAACTAACTAACATCACTCCAAAGTAAAAGCCAGATTAAAAAGATTAAGTAAAAGATAAATACAGAGAGAGCTCGTCATTATAATATACAGTTAGTTCCACAGTTTAGGGACATTAAAACAAAAGGCGCTCTCACCATTTTAAAGAAAACCGATGGAGAACCTTAACAGTGTTGTAATAGTATTTTACTTAAATAAATAATCTCAGTCCCTCCTCCAGCACAGGCCGATGGGAGATCAATGATCTGAGTGTATCAAGTCAATATTTATGTATTTATTGGTTTATTAACAGAATTAAACTGCACCTGTTCACAGCTTTGATCTGTGTCGTGCTGCAGGAGCTCCTTCAGGTGTAAAGCAGCCTCAATCCACAAGGTGGCAGTGTTGCACTGAGCAGCTGAGTGCTGCTGAGGAAGAGGAAGAGGAAGTCTCAGCACAACTGGAGCCTCAGAATTAGGAGACTAATGTGTCTATTGTGTAACATGCAATACATTATGACTGTTAGATAGCGCCCCCTAGAGGCTCCAGTATTCATTACAGCTACACGTTAAAGCCTCACCAGCAGTGTAACTAAATGTAAAGTTTGTCCTGATGATGTAAAGGAAAGGTTGTGGGATCAAAGGTTTTACTATATATATGTATTTATATATCATTTTTCTTTCTATGTTTCTTTTTTCTACCAGCCTTAACCTCAGTAGCAGCCATATTGTCTCTGTTAATTCCCTCTGTAGTCTTGTTTAAAATACACAGTAGGCCTATATCTTGGTATTTATTTCATTTCTGTGCAGAAAAGTAAATGAAATTGTATTTTTTTAAGTTTAGATTATTATTTAAGATAAACTCTGAAGACCTGAACACAGGCTACATTCACAGAGCATTCAGTCTCTGACAAACAGCCTCTTCCTGCGTTAGAAAGATAAAACAAAGAAATAGCTGATAGAACAATGAGAATAAAACACTGAATTTGTCAAAAAGAAGGAGCCTGTTAAGTATGAATTATTTTTAATACAGACAGATTATTTATAAGAATTTCCTAAATATATAAGGAAAACTCATCTCTGATCAATATTAACAGGAAATAATCCGCTCAAAATTCATCCAAATCACTCGTTTTTGTTACTGGGTTCATTATTTATAAGTTGTTCTGTACTGTTGTTATTATTATACATTGAATATAATATATAATATCCATAAAATATCACTAAAATGTCACTTAATGAACTGTTGAATCAGTTCACACAGTGACAGAAAAGGGGTCCCTGAAGAAAATAGGTTGTGAACCAATGTCTGAGGTAGAGTGTGGAAGTCTTTATGGGTCCACTTCCTATAAATCTACCCCAGGACTTGAGTCAGACCAGGTCCTAATCAGCCAGTCTAATCAGGGCTGATATATTCTCTCTCTGTGTCAGCCAGTTAACATCTGTCCTCGGTCTGACGACCTCTGCGTTACTATGATGCTGTTTTACCCACATATGATAGGCGGACCTCAACAGGAGGATTCATCGGTCGGCGTGAGAATGTTTGAATGATGTGCATCAGGAAGTGAGCTGTTGATTACCACAGCGATTGAGAGGTCAGGAGGAGTAAGAACATCTGGCCAGAGGTTGATGTTTTCTCTGAACCCAGATGTTGAACTCACCATCATCATCATCATCGCTGTACTAAGCGATGGGAACAAACACCGTTTAATGGCACACAGGAATATCTTATTTCTCACTGTAACAGGTGTTGATCACAGCTGGGTTTCCATGGTAACGAAGTGATCTAAGATGTCCACCGTATAAATGTGATTTTAACGCTGCACAGGAGCTCTCTGCTTCTTATCATCCTTTCATCCCCCCCCCCCC